TTTTCAGGGGATGGGGGGTGGGCTCACTTCTTTCGGAGGTCGTTACTTACGGACTTTTACGATTCGTTGCGTGTACGAGCCATTGGCCAAGCGATTGGTAGCCGTGCATGGTCTACAGTACTAAGGCATTGACAATCTATCTTAGCTCCATGTACTAAGTTTCTCCTCGCGCTTTGTTTTTTTGCCCTCGGCTGTGTAATTGTGCGATATTTTCTACACAATATGAACTTCAATTGCCGAGCATGATAATACTGCACGTGACTCCCACTGCCAACGACATACTCAGACAAGTATTCCAGATCATCTGGGTTTTTATTCCTTAAGATCTGTGCTAGATTGATTAATCAAACGCTCCTTTACGCCCGGACAAGCATCTCGATGCAAGCTCAGAGTTTATTGTGATGGCTTTCATTGAGTAAACAAGACACATACGTCTGCTCGCCGCGCTCAACATCCATTCGTAGGCACTTTGTCATCTTTAAGTTCAGTTTGTAGATCTGAACTTCGTTCAGGGGGAGAAGCAGAGGAAGGTTCATGTTGTGTAATTCCTTCATTATTGGGGGAGTACTTGATTTATCGGCATTCCCCGGTTTTGTCCGCTCACGTTTTTTTCCTGCCCAAGTATTTCTTCATGTGTGTTTAGACGTGATCCGATATATAATGACATTGTTTTGTTCCAGATTATTGGCGTCGGTGGAGTCCGCCATCATTTGAAAGCATCGGTAATGACTCGAACGCACTATTTACTTTTAAAGCGCTACTAATATCGTCACTTCATTATAAAGCTTGTCTCATATTCCAACGGCTTTTTCTGGTTTATTTCTTATTTAATATCATCGACATGTCACTGAAACAGGTTATGACGCCTTCCCTGGGCGCAAGACGAAGAACCCTACTTAGAGAGTTGGAAAGGAATGCTAGGAAAATTTCCTGCCATTTCTCTGCGGTACTTATAGTAGAAGCCCCTACGTCCCGTCATGAATGCTTAGTAACTGGCAAACGTTAGGCCCGTTAAGGGCCCGGCAAGGCATGAATAAAATATTAACGTTATCTAAGTGTCAAATGTATTTAGCACTGTTGTGCTAATTGAGGACAATGTAAATAAACAAACAATTAATGCAAATAGAACACAAATTATTAAGAATCCCGCTGGGAGGCTGACCAGTTGGTTATTTACGCGATGCGGTCGAGGAGTTGAACTCGGGAATAAGGAGAACAAATCTAGATAGCGGTAGGGTGGAGGATTTGAACCAGGGACCTCCAGATTTCAAATTCAGCGCCCTAAACCACTCGGCCACATACGCCGCCTCCCTTAACTCTCCTAACAGGAAGCAACATCCTAAACATTACAAAACAGAGGAAGGAATTAAACCTGCCAGTGGAGTAGCCAGCACCACAGAATTGATAACTTAACAGGACATGTATCCAGTAAGCTTGTGGCTCAGTATTCGGGGGTAAAGTTGGAAAGAAGTAGACTCTTCGAGTGTGGGCTGAGAAACGGTGGCGCAATCTTTTGATTGCAATTTACTGCGATATATACCCTTCATACACATTACCTAGGTCATTCCACTACCTAGAACGAATATTGCGCTTTCTCCAGATGAAGTCACACGTCCAGTATCAAATCCCCTGTGTTCGCGGCCCCTGTGAGCTGCGAAAAAGAACATGGGTATTGAGTTGTTTTGTTCCTTTGATATTCTTTTTCTCACAATCATATCTTCAACAGCAGCAAAATTGAACCTTTTCTCTAGGAATGCTCCAAAACACTGACTAGCTAGGTCGTTTCGATTTATCACTTGTACAGGTATACAACTACAGGAGAGCCAGCGGAAGTGGGTTTCGCTCAAAGGATTCCTGTGATTTTGCTGTGAAACCAGAGGACGGTCGAGATGTCAATGGGTTTTCTTGTATCGTAAAGTTTCAACAGGAAGACGGCGAAGAAGATCACGAATATTCCATCTACGTGAATCCAGGCTTCACGCCTTTGAGGGTAGAGAAAAGTGCTCGTTACTAAATTTATCGATTAGCCTGTGCTAGTTGTGATTATTGAGTCAGGGGTCATGAAGACAGAAAGTCGAGCTCCTTTGTCCATAAAATGTTTAGATTCCTTATCTTGAATTTGAGGTTTTGGTTTGGTGGTTAGCTACGAGATCGTCTCAATAAAAGTTCAGACCATCCACAACAGCTACAGGCTATTTTGATGAGAGGCAGGGAATGCGCCCCCTGCTAAATTTAATGATGTAATGATAATGAAAGTCAGTGAGTCTCGAGTGACTCAGTTGAACCACTTGAAAGAGGAGTTTGATTCCTGTCAGGGACTCACCTTCACCTTTCACATTTCATTATATTACCGCGCAAAATCTTTATTCAGTTATCACTACTCATGATGGCTTCGACATTGCTGATCCTAGCAGTATGCAAGACGTCTGTCACATATGAACTCAGTTAAATGACCTTGCTCTCCATGAGCTCTCGTAGCTGAGGGGACAGAGCGCCCTCCCGGTGTTTGGGAGTCATGATCATAGGTTCGATTCTTGTCGGGGACTCAGATTTTTCCCTTGTCCCACGCTCGTGTCATGTTGATCAATTCGCCTTTCACATTCCATTACCGAACTTACAATCAGCATCTTTATTCACTTATCACTAAAGTTACGAAGTTTGGCAAATTTTACTCCAGAGTGAGTTGTAGAGTGAATGTGGGTGTGGGCTCCCTTACCACGCTTCGCTCAGTAGTAAATTATATTACAGATGGTAGATCAAACTGGTTTCATGTAAGATTGATTCCAACTTCTCATAGTTGATTTGGTATTATTTGATTGTATAGCGGCAGAGCATCCGGCAAAGTAATGCAGAAGGCAGCCGAAGTGACACTACCCCTAGTGGCGCTTGTGCGATTGCTGAAAGATCGAGAGCGCCAGAAGAAGAAGATGTCAGTCACGAAGGAAGGATTCCAGGTTTTTTTTTTTTTATATATAAATTTTGATTTAATAAAAATGAGAATGGAGTTTTCAACTAGCACCTACAGGGACTCAGAAATCTCGGAGATCGTTTTACCTTATAACTATTTCCTGAACCATCTGGCAAGAGATGGAAAAAAACAAAAAAACAAAACAAAACAAAAACAAAAACAAAGAGACAAGAGCGACAACAAAAAAAATTACCCCCTCCAGTCCCAAATTAGATATATGGAAAAATAAAGAAATGTTCCTTTGCATTTACTGAACGCGGAAATCTGGCTATTAAGAGAGATAAATTAAACGAGCTTTGACTAAATGTCTTTTCCTAAAAAAACAAACAGAAACAAAGGAAAATACGGGCAAAACCTGAAAACTGGGATAAGCGGATAAGATAAGGCGCGATGCGAGACAACGCGACGCGATGAGACAAGATGAGACGAGTTAGGATTCCTTTCTCGTCAGTTCACCGAGGAAAACCAGGCAAATATATACCTATAGTAGTCTAGATTGGAACATTTTGATGGAATATATTGCATATCGGTCTCTAGGCCGTTGTTGATTTGGTTGTTTCTGCTCTTCGTTTGTTTTTCTCGAGATTATCCCTAAGATTTTCGACATCATTCACAGTGGACTGTTGGCCAGGTCACACCCCGGGGTCACACCACCGAGAGGCAATTCGATCTGATACACAGTGGCTTCCGCTGGCTGATCCAATATGTAGGTCGCAAATCATCCTAACCATTAACTGACTTTTTTTCAGATTCTTCACAAGGCGAAGGATCCGGAGACTGTGGCCACTTTGACGAAATGGTGACCGAGAGACTTTGCTTTTTCATAAGCCCCTATGTTGGAGGTAACTGGAAACGCGTTCTGCGAAACCTGTCAATGGATGAGATGGCCATTAGAAATTTGGACGAGGATTTCAGGAACTGTAAAGTTGCTGAAAAGTGCTACGAGGGGCTTTTAGCATGGAAGGAAAGTCTTGGTCACCAGCGAGCAACGATTACAAAACTGTGTGACGCCCTGCATCTCGTGGGTTGCCCAGAAGCACTGAAATGTGTCGAGGAGAGACAATATATCACATAACATTGACCAGCTGATAAATTTGAATAGACTTAAAAATGCATGCTAGCTGAGTGAAATGTGTTCGATTCTCTTTGTGGTAGCCGACTCGGTGGATCATCCTTACCACCCTGTTTCCATTTCAAGTGGCGAGAGATTTTGCTTTGCATCCACACCCAGTGGTGAATGCGCTGCTGCGAGATTTTCCCGCGTAACTTGCTAACACAGCAAATTAAAGAAATGCTTCTCCTAGAAAAAAGAAACAATTATAAATTTGCTAGGAACTAGAAAGCTATACTAGAAATTCCGGAAGAAGTTGTATCAAATCTGAAATAGGCTCAACCTGTTCGTCCGTTTCACTAGGTGTACAGGAATACAACGATCATAATATGAGGTTTTATCGTGCAGCCGCGGCATGCAAATCAGCCTAGCCTTTGAATTTTCTAGGAAGACAAGGCTCTGCTAAACTTGGGGTTACTCCCGGAGAGTGTTCAGCAAGTAGTAATGGAATGCAAATGCCTCTCCATTACATGCATGTAGCTGAAAAGATACCTGAACTGAAAATGCAGCGTGAGAAAAGATTTTGATTTTGTACAATTTCTTTCCCAGGAAACTTTGCTATTAGCTGAAAGGAGGTTAAAAACATCCATTTCGCGTTCGATCCTTGTCAACTGGCCTAACATAAAACTATTAATGTTTTAGTAAACCTTCAAGGCTAGAGTTATGTTTAGTTGTTAAACCTTAGGCCTATAGTATAAAAAGCTCTTATGTCTGTAAAGAATTGATTAGATAGTAACACTTACATTATGTAAAATGGATCCCAAGGCATGCCGTTAAAAATTGTGTTCTTTGAATTAGCTCCGCAGAAATTTTCAGGTTGTCTTTGACATTCTGTTTTACTTAGCATGAACACTTTCTTCAAATCAGGAATCAACAATGGGAAATTAAGAATATTTAAAATAACTTGTTATAAATTTTATTATTATAGAAAACGCACAGCTATTAATGATATTGAAGCTGGTTTCGTCATTGGCTCCGGGCAACAACAAGTTGCCTAGGGAAGCCAAGAAACACCNCTCGTGTAGTAATTGCTGTAATCTGTTCTCCATAGGCTAGCAAGTTATCTGAGACCATCTGAATCATAGCTTTCTGTCTGATCAGCTAAAGTGAAGGTCTGAGCTGAGGTACGTATTCGATACATAATAGATGCATAATCTTTGTTGACGCATTTTGAATCCATACGCATTGTCTGTATTTTAGATCTGGTTTCTCGTGGGGAATGAAGTATTCAAATTTTGCTTAATACTTAAAAATGCTGCTGTTGTATGTGTTTTTTCTCAACGTTAGTCAATCATATGCATAAGACATCCAGAAATTGGCGACACTGATCACTTGATATCACTGAAGTTTATTGAAGGTCATTCAACTTTCCGTACCAAACGTGCTTTCCGACCTCAACTTTATACCCGAATATTCAATTGTTTCGTATTCATTTTTCAAAGGGCGACAGTGTGTTTTTCAAAGGGAAAGGAGGCAAGTCAGGTGATCTAGCTAATGATGGAGCTTTGTGGCGTATTCGACTTTGAGCGGTGTTAATGTGTATTTTGTTGATGACGTTACTCGCTGGTGACTGAGAATTGCTAATTGTCACGATATATCCTTAAAAGTAATCAAGTGCGAAAAAGAAAGAGCCTGAACGAAATGGTGGACTGTTTTTGTGATATTTGAGAAGTAGCCTGCGAGAAAACTCTCCTTACAGCTCCTCTGAGCAGGGTGGGGTAAGGGAGAGCAAGGAGAACTAGACAGGATCTGTCAAGGATTGATATAGTTGATAGTCATTTGGTGTTTAAATACTTGCGCCATAAAGTTGTATTCGTAATCAAATATGAAAAACTAACTAAAAATACCAATTAATCAAGTAATTAACACACAGGCGACTTTTCGAATCCTTTCTCTTACACTGTTGATCGCGTGTACAAGCCAGATTAATATTATGAGGTCATGAGCCAGAGCGCTAATCTTTCATGGAATGAGGGAAAAACCCCTTTTTGATCATTTGTAATTCAACTTTTGGTTTCGTTTTCAGTCATTTTCCATACACTGGAAGGTTCTAGTCGATTCAGAAACTCAAACTTTTCCAATGTTTCTCAACGACTCGTGTAGTAATTGCTGTAATCTGTTCTCCATAGGCTAACAAGTCATCTGAGATCATCTGAATCATGGTTTTCTGTCTGATCAGCTGAAGTGAAGGTCTGAGCTGAGGTACGTATTCGATACATAATATTCGATACATAATAATGCATAATCTTTGTTGACGCATTTCGAATCCATATACATTCGTCTGTGTTTTAGATCTGGTTTTTCGCGGGGAATGAAGTATTCAAATTTTGCTTGATATTTAAAAATGCTGCTGTTGTATGTGTTTTTTCTGAACGTTACTCAATCATATGTATAAAATATCCAGAAATTGCGACACACTGGTCACTTGATATCACTGAAGTTTATTGAAGGTCATTCAACTTCCCGTATAAAACGTGCTTTCTGGCGCGGCCTCAACTTTATACCCGAATATTCAATTGCTTCGTATTCATTTTTCTAAGGGCGACTGTGTGTTTTTCAAAGGGAAAGGAGGCAAGTTAGGTGATCTTAGTGGAGCTATGTCGTATCCGACTTTTAGCGGTGTTAATGTGTATTTTGTTGATTACGTTACTTGCTGCGCTGGTGACTGAGAATTGCTCGTTGTCCTGGAAAGTAGTCAAATGTGAAAAAGAAAATGTCTGAACGAGATCAGTAACTCTGATAGACTTTCGCTGTTGTACGGGTTTTTGTGATATTCGCGAGGAAGCTCTCTTTTTCTTCTTAGCAGGGTGGGTAAAGGAGAACAAGGGGAACTAGACAGGATGTGTCACGAATTGACGTAGCTGATAGTCATTTGATGTTAAAATACCGTATTTATTGGAATAAACGCCGCCCTCGAATAAAGGCATCATGATGCGGCGTTTATTGCAAAAATAGACTCAAAAAAAGCAAATGCGGTAATATTCCAGTTTGAGAAAAAAAATTTTTTCCTTGATTGTATGTTTAAGAGCAGTACATTCGAAGCTCAAAGGAATATAATCAAAACACGCGAATAATATACGGTAGTTGACAGAATAGCTTAATAAAGGTTTGGAGATAACAATGTTTTTTTTTAGTTCGAAGATAGTATACTTCAATGCTCTTTCACTAAGCTCCCTAATCTCCAGAATTCTTGCAATGCACAGTCTCGTTGTCAAAGCGGAGTGGTTAACTGGCTCATGAAGAGGAAAGTGACATTGAAATTGAGTGAGCTTTATTCACTTTATGTATTGCAATAGTATTAACATTCAAATTGTGAAATTGAGAACGATATAGAAAATGACTTTCCAGACAAGCACTTAAACGTGTTTCTGTTTTTTAAAATTCAAATTTTCAGTTACCATACTATTGTTTGCAATAAATGAATTGGATTTTAAATACACGCCGCCCTCTTATAAACGCCACCATCGAATAAACGCCGCACTCGAATCACGATAAATTTATCATACGCCTCAGCGTTTAATTGAATAAATACAGTACTTGCACTATAAGGGTGAGGTCGTGTTAAAAAATAGGTCCGCAATGCATACGCGTGTTTAATGCGTTTTCAGCTAACTGGAGCCATAATCAGAGACGGACACTTTAAGGGGAGAGCCGTCCATGGAGTAGTGGAAGAAATGATAAGTTTTAAGCAGGAAATGTTATTGACAGAAGTTTACCGACAAATGTCAAATTAACTTGTTCATGAAATATCAAAATGGTTTCCTGGAATTGCTAAGCCTACTATATAAAAGTCTGTAACTGAGAACGTTAGCCCCAAGTCGATGACTTAATGGCCTTGAATTACACTGAAGTTCTGATATTAAGTTTTTACTATGGCTGTAAAGGGAATATAGACATGTTGAACAACAATCAATTTGCATGGAGAATTTACAAGGTTCTTTTATTAAAATGTAACTGTACGTGGAATAAAAAGGAAGCAACAACGCTAATCACTGTACATTTTGTATACTTCTTACGATAGCTTGTTGTAAGGTTGCATGTTGATCAATGGGTAGTTGTTTGTAGAGTGTCTTCTGGACAGAAGAGTGTTTCTAATAATTAACTGAATCAAAATCTTCAAGTGGTTGTCAGAATACAATAGTTGCACAAAGAATTCTGTGAATTAGCTCAACTCCTCACATAAAAAATATCGATGAGACGTTGATACAAAGTTAAATACTTGTATGAAAAAAGAAATAACAATGGAGAACAGAGTGCTCCATTTCCCATTGCCCAGCTAGTTTGCCTGACTTTGGTTTACTAGATTCTTGTGCTCACATCTGACATGGCATGGTGCAGATGTCTTGCGTCGTTGTTAGTGTCAAAATTGTTCAGTGCCAACTTTAAGTGTAAGAGCATGTTTCCAAAGCAACTGTCCTCAACTTTTCTGTGCATTAGTTACTTCTTTATAGGTGCAGATCAAAATGTTGGTATTTTGTCTGCTTTTGTATCTGAAGGTAAATGTCAGCACTGTTAAGTTTGAATTTGCATTTTACATTATGTGTGAAACTCAGTGCTGTTTTGTTTCACTGGATCTGTTTATAACTCACATAATTATTGAACTGCAGTAATAATAGTTCAAAAAACAAGTGAAAGGGTACAAATATACAGCAAAATTGTATAACAAGTTATTTTCCTACTTGTCAGGTCTGTGCAAGACATGCAAAACTGTCGCACTTTCTCTCTTTCGCTGATAACTAAATATTGACTACAACATTTGGGAAATAAATCACTTATTACACAATTTCATGTGCAGTATCGAAGTATAATTTTATTCGTTGTTTGTGTATTGTCTTGCTCATCAAAATACAGCACATTGACTCATAATAATATAGAGTAATGCTTTGTACATCAAAACATCTATTAAGATATATGTGCTGTATTGCATTGCATGGTATGCCATAATAGCCATTCCCTCCATGAGATGCACCTGTAGGGAGACATGATGGTAGTTGTTTTAATCATCTTGGATTGGATATTTGTTTTTATAAATACAACTACCATGATTCCCTGCAGGCACATCTCATAGAGGGAATAGAGCATTGCAAGGTATTGTATTGTATTGTATTGTACATGTATACATCTATCAAAAATTGATAACAAACATGGAATGCAGTGTATGACATTTACAAACTAAAAACTACATTCAGGCCTAAATAGTAGCCTGGTTAGCCTAAAAATCACTCTGCATAGCCTAAATAACACTCAGGCTAGCCTAAATAATGCTCAGGTTAGCCTGTTTACGGTTAGCTCTCGGTAGTGGAAATGAGGATGCCGATAATGAATAAAAAGTGTGCAGTCTGGAAATGTCATAGACCCCCTGGATGTAAGTCAGCTAGCTACGTGTATCAGTCTACAGCAAAGAGTCATTTGCTCGTACAGAATATCTTGAAGAGCTATATAGGTTATTTCCAATAATTAAATTCAGAGTGAAATAAATTTGCAAATTAATATATTCTATTTGATGAGACAATTCAACACATTGCTTTCCAGTATCTTCACCAAAGAGTGTTGCATTTCCTTGATTTGTAGTCTACAGACACAGTGATCGTTGGACCAATCATATCAAATATTGCAGGGCCTGGAATTTCCTCCACATCATTCAGTTTGTCATGTAGTAGGAGAACATCATTTGTGTAAACCAAAACATCATTTGATTCCAGTTTTTCATAGTGTACATAAGCTTAATTTGTTGCGATGTTGGCAAGCAAAACACAGTTAAATAAAAGTCGCAAGCACAAAATTCCAGCATCCCCGTTGAACATGTGATGAGGTAGACAATCAGTTATTCGCAGATTGATCTTTCCATTTAATACGATAACAAACAGCTCCAGTAAGTTCAGCAATTCGACTGAAATCACATCCCAATATGATTATTTATAGCCATGGCTTAAGAAAATTTCAGTGGCTTGCGGGACCAAAGCAACTCCTGTCGCCGAGGAAACTCGGTTAGCAACACCTGAATGAAATAACAAGGAGGCATAGCAAGGCATTTCTCGGTAGGTAAGCTTAAATTCTCGAGGGCTGTGTAGTTAACTTTCGAAGAAAGGAGGAAAACGACATAGTGACTGAGAAATGGATAATAACTTAAGCTTACCTTGAAAATTAGAAACCAACTCGCGACGGAAAGCTGTCCAAATTATTCGAAACAGAAAAAACGGC